TCTAAAAAGGGAAATATTTTTAATCAAGTTTTGAATTTCTCAACAGCACCATGTTTGAAGGCTCTTCCTTCCCATGCACCCATCAGCACAGACTTATTGGTTATTTTACAGGCTATTTCTCTTGGCCTACCATGGAGTTATTAACTTTCTATTAAATAAAGTGTATATTGTGTAAAAAGAGGCTTCAAAGAAACAAAGACAAGCCTGAGGCTAGTGCACTGAAGAAACGTTTTCCTGAAATGTCTTTGACAAGAAAGGCAGCTGAAGGCAGATTTCAAGGCTGTGCCATCAATATAGAAACTAGAAGGCATGCAGCTTTAGATACTGGTGAACTCAGTCTAGCTCAACTTGTAGAGTGGGGAAAAATCAAATGTGTATGAAACTCCAGACAAAATTTGATATTTGTCATCTGCAGAGGTGGCAGTCTGGTCTCATTAAAACCAATGGCAAAATTCCCATCAACTTCAGTGGTGCTAGGATTTCACTCAGGTGATTTAGAAATAATAAAATGCTATTAATCAAAAGGCAATGTATAAAGTTGGGGGAGGGGGGGAAGAGAGATTTGTAATTGCAGGAGGAAGGCACTAATGTCATTATAGAAGTGCTCAAAGACAATACCTTGTTGCGCCAAAAACAAGAGGCAGTGCAGTCTGCTCAGTGTGATCAAAGTCTAGGTAATTTTGGCAGGCTGAGACACTAACCATTTAGGGTGGGGTTTCACAAACAGTACTGTATTTTTGAATAGTACTATTTTTTTCCAAGAAGAGACCTAGTGCCTCCTATGTGAATTCTGATCTCTCTCACCTTTCTTTATTTTAAGGAGGAGTAAAGGTCAGGGTTGTCACATACTTTCAGATTTCACTAGCTTCCCCCTAGTTAGACTTTCTGAATATTGTCTGGAAAATTGTAATTGAGTGTTAGTTTATGCGAAGAGGCAGATGAACCTCATCTTCCCAGCTGTAATCTCTTCAGAAGGAGACTGATTCTCCTTTCTATATTGAAAGAAGTCTTTAGAATGGGGGAATCAATTTATGAGGGATTCTAAGGTGCCTCTTGGTTGAGCTAAGGACTATATCATAGATGGAGGTCCGCAGACAGGGTGTCATTTATTTTCAAAGGAAATACATCCAGGGAAACAAGCCCAGAAGAGAAAATTAATCACCTTAAAGAACAAACTTGTGATTTTTAGAATATATGCAACTGTCTTGTTTCCAGCCAGTATCATTTGCTGTCAGTAAAGGAAAGTAATGGGCTTTCTGAGTCTGATGTTAAGATTTAGTGTTGGCACAAACTAAGAGATGCTTGTTTGGCTCAGATGAAGATATAACGTTGAATCAAAATCAGCAACAATAGTGTTATTCTTGGAGATTTAGTAAGATGTATACTGAAAAGGCCCAATCCTGCTCCCATTGAAGTCATTGAACTCCCATGGAGTACAATGACAGCAGGAACAAACCTAACATTTTGATAGCTTTTCCTGTGAGAGTTCCCACTTGTATAGCCAGCATGTAAAGTTTGACATCAAAGAGATGGTCTGTTTTTCACTTGATCGATACTTTGCTCCATTAATCCCTTTCAAGTTATTTTCTTTAGATCTTGCCATTACAAAGTCCACTTTTTGTGAAGGACTTCATACCAAGTGGCGACTCATGATGTATTCTTTATTTTCCCCTCATTACACTGCTAATTAACAGATCAAATACATAGAGGCTAAGAATTAGAGCTGGTTGGGAATTTTCCATCAGAATTATTTTCTGAAAGAAAATGTAGGTTTCCACAAACTCAAAAACCTTTCATGGGAGAACTTCAATTTTGCCAGAATGTTGATTTTCCATTGGAAAAATTGAAACAAAAGATTTCATTTCAGGGGAGGTTCAACCCAAATTGGAATATTTTGGTTTGTTGAACTGACCTGAAACCCTTAATTCTGAGTCAGCTCAACATTAAATTGCATTTCCCTATTGTGCCACATTGCCCCATGGGAATCATAGTTTGAGCCCCCATTCCCTTCTATGGACCATGCTCCCAGAAATACTACAGCTCCCGTGATGTAATATGAACTCTCCTCTGACCAAGCTGTGTGGTACATCATGGAAGTCATGTAGATGTAGGTGCATCATAGGAGACATAGTCCAACCAGGGAGGCTGGCCCATAGGCGATAATGGGGGCCCAGGCAACCTGAACTCCCACGAGTCACTTGTACATTAGAACCTCAAAGATATGAGCATCGGAGTGACAGACTGACCGGTCAACTGGACACCAAGTGAAAACAAAAGTAACCAATCAGGCAGCAGCAGAACACCCCCGCCCCCCAAAAGCAAACACTGTATTGTGCCTGTATTACATCTTAAAGGTAGGCACATCTGGGCTGCCTGTTTAATGTTGAACTGACTCAAAACAAAGCATTCCAGGTCAATTCAACAAACCAAAATGAAAATATTTTGATTCAGAAAATCAAAATGTTTTGTGTTGATTGAAAATGGAGAAAAACATTTTGTTGTGTGAAAACTTTTCGTCTCAACTTTTCACCTCAAAAGCAAAAAGTTGAAATATCATAATTTCCCCGAGGATGGAATTTCTGAATTTCACTCAGCTCTACTATGAATATTTTAGGCTGCCAACCCAGCAAGTCATAATCCAAAGGTCTGAGGACAGGACTAGGAGCTAGGAATTCCTGAGTGTTAGTTCTACCTCTAACACTGCTTCCCCTCTATAGCCTTGGACAAATCTGATTGCCGCTGCCTCCAATTCACCAAGTGTAAAATGGAAAGAAAGTTTGTTTCTAAATCTCACATGTGTGTGGTTTGTAATGTTGTCTAGTGACCTGGGTCTGCAAAGATTTAAGCATGTGCTTAATTTTACATGGTGTGAGCAGTCCTGCTGACTTCGATAGGACTACTAAGCGTGAATAGAACATAACAGCCATACTGAGTCAGACCAAAGGTCCATCTAGCCCAGTATCCTGTCTTCTGACAGTGGCCAATGCCAGGTGCTTCAGAGGGAATGAACAGAACAGGTAATCATCAAGTGATCCATCCCATATCACCCATTCCCAGCCTCTGGCAAACAAACAAACAGAGACCAGGGACATTTCAGAGCATGGTTTTGCATCCCTGCCCATCCTGTCTAATAGCCATTGATGAACCTATCCTCCATGAACATATCTAGTTCTTTTTTGAACCCTGTTACAGTCTTGGCTTTCACAACATCCTCTGGCAAAGAGTTCCACAGGTTGATTGTGCATTGTGTGAAGTACCATATATACTCGACCATATATACTCGATCATAAGCCGGTTCGTTTATAAACCAACCCCTCCACCCCCAAGATGGATAATTAAAATGGCAAATTTTTATGACCCATTCATAAGCTGACCCTATAATTCAGGAGTTGGCAAACTTTGGTTCCCGGGCCATCAGGATAAGCCGCTGGCAGGCCGAGAAGGTTTGTTTACCTCGAGCATCTGCAGGCACGGAGGTAAACCTAAGTAAACAAAGAGTCTTGGCCTGCCAGCGGCTTACCCTGATGGGCCGGGACAGCAACTGGTGGGGAAGATTTTTTTTGGGGGGGGAGAAGCTGGGGGTCAGGGGAGTAACCCCTGTGACCCCCCCCCCCCACACACACACACGACCCCACCCCTAACCTGGGACCTCACCACATGACCCCTCCCCATGTAACTCCTCCCTGCCCCACCCTAGCCCAGGACCTCCCCACTCTCCCCATCCCATTCCCTCCCACCTTAGCTGGGGCGGGCCAGGGGAGGATGTCTCTGGCCTGGCTGGAGCTGTTCCGGCGGGCTGGGCCGGGCGGCACGGCCGCAGCGTGCCAGCCCTGGAGCTGCAGCTGCTTCGGAGGCTGGGGGGAGAGCAGCGTGGCCAGAAGCGGAGAGACTCTGGCTCTGCCTCTTCCCTTCTGGCTCTGCTGTCTGTGCTGCCTCTCCTTGCTCCCTCTGCTGGGGGGGGGGGGGGGAAGGGGGGCTGTGTCCCACCTCTCCCATCTCTATACCCGTTCATAAGCGGACTCGCTACTCTGATGCTTCCCTATTTTACTAAAAAAATTCGGCATATGAACCAGTATATACGGTACTTCCTTTTGTTTGTTTTAAGCCTGCTGACTATTCATTTCATTTGGTGACCCCTAGTTCTTGTATTATGAGAAGGTGTAAATAGCACTTCCTTATTTACTTCGCCACACCAGTCATGATTTTATAGACCTCTATCATATTCCCCCCCTTAGTCATCTCTTTCCTAAGCTGAAAAGTCCCAGCCTTTTAAACCTCTCCTCATATGTAAGCTGTTCTATACCCCTCATCATTTTTGCTGCCTTCTCTGTATCTTTTCCAATTCCAATACATCTTTTTTGAGATGGGGTGACCGGATCTGCATGCATTTATTCCTCCCTTTTGTTTCCTATCTTTTAACCAGTTACTGATCCATGAGAGGACCTTCCCTTTTATCCCATGACTCCTTCCTTTGCTTAAGAGCCTTTGATGAGGGACCTTGTCAAAGGCTTTCTGAAAATCTAAGTACACTATATCCACTAGATCCTCCTTGTGGACATTCTTGTTGACTCCCCTCAAATACTTCTAATAGATTAGTGAGGCATGATTTCCCTTTACAAAAACCATGTTGACTCTTCCCATCGTGTTCATCTGTGTGTCTGATAACTGTTAAAGAACAGAATTAAGTTAATTAAGCATGTTAAATTCTCAGAGACTATTTCCTGGAGTCCCACAGGAGGCACTGGGACTCCTACAGCCTTGGGTCATAGATAAAATAATTTGAATATTTTTTTAAAAACAAATACTTATTTCATTGCAGGAAAATCCTTTATGAACCATGTATAGGAGTTTAGTATATTGTGGACAGTGTGAAATACTCTAATAAAAATGTGATAATTAAAACCTAATACCATCTGCAGAGATAAATTAAAGTGTAACTAACTATACAAGTAACTATACCACGACAGTGGTTCTCATGAAGTTAAGGGACAGTACTTTACCTTCGCAGTGGAAAGGCTAATAATGTGCTGATCTTTTTCATTTGTGACAATCTCCATGACACTAAATAAGTGTCCCAACAACTTGCCCACTGGCTTGGTGTTTATATTGGGATGCCATAAACGGAGAACTTTATCATCACCTGTGAACAGAAAATATCTGTGACCCATTCTGTGTCTCTAACATGCAGACTATCACAAAATAGATTCTGAATAGACAGCCTAGTTTTACAAAAGATGGCTGCCAGGACTGCAAACACAAATCCTGCTTAAATCTTTGTATTTTTCATACCAAGGGCTTGATGCTCAGTTGCCTCTAGACACCTTTACACTGCTTAAAGTGTACTTAACTCACTCTTTAAGGCCCTTTAATGTTGCCAAAGTGGTATAAAGGTGTAAATGAGAATCAAGCCTTTTGTACCCATCTGTGCAAATGTGATGTTTGCACACAATTTAGGAAGCCACTTTTGAAATTTGGTCCTCATATTATATAGTAGTTTTTTGCTGCTAATTATTTCAAACATTTCCAGCAAAACCCAAAGCAACAGCAGCACACCTGGATTTTGGCTCTGATACAAACCCCAATGCTTAAACCAGCTAAGTTGAAAAGTTTGCTATTTTTCACAAGCCTTTAAAGAGAACCTGGGCCCAATTTCAAACAGACATTAACATATTTATGGTGTGGCATCAAAATCATGCCAGATTTATGGCTTTATTAACAGTTAAATACTGAGAAGCCTTTAGCACCATATAAAAATCAACTTAGCCCCTCCTGAATAGCTTAAGACACTAAACCAGTTAAAACTTGATAGTTATCATTAAGTTTTACTTTGAGTTGCTCCAAACTTGAAGCAGAACTCAGAGTAAGAACACATGGATCAAAACTGGAGGACATTCACACAACCCTCAGAACCAAGTCAGCCAACTTTCACACAACTTTGTTAGTTATTTACTTTGAGAAGTATAATCTTAAAGCTTTTTAGGAAGAGACTGCACAGATATATTGTCCTCTAGACCTGGGCCATTCAGAGTATAAGCTAGTGCCTCTCCCAACCTGCTATACAAACACTCTATATAGAGCAACAATCCAGACTCACCCTCTGCCTGGATTTAGTTCTATTAACACAGAAAACAAAAAGATATGTCAACTCAACTCTTCTCAGGGTTCTTCCCTAAGGATCACTTCATTCTCTCCTCAGAGAGGAGGAGATGCCAGTGCTCTTTTATACCCAGGTGGGGCAATAAGTCATCTGCCTCAGTGAGTCAACAGAATGCATGTAAACCTTTCACAGCTGGACCAACACTTAACCAGGTAGCAACCACTGTCAGCCTATAAAAATATAGTAACTGGTCTACTGGAGTATTCCAGTGCATTCATTTTGGCATTGTTTGAAATACCGGTAATTCACCAAATTGCTAAATTATACAAAACAATCTGGATGAGAAGACACACAGTTTTAAAGTTAAGATGGTTTAAAGTTTTGGGGAAAATATGTAAGTCTCCTAGCAGATGGAACCCAATAAAATGCCAATCACAGAAGACAGGTATTCTGGCCCATAAGAAATCAAAAGGGAAACAAAAAAATCTGTCATTTGGTAATGAATCAGCTGTGTTTCAACTGTGGCTTTTCAGAGCTTAAATTAGGCCAGTATGGGTTTGTTACATCATACCGGTCCTTTCTCCAGTCTTTCACTGCCTTTTAGATAGAGCAGGGACTAGTAGAGAAGAGACCAGGGATCAGTTCTTGACTTGGTTAATGTGTAATTTTGGGTAAGGAAAACAAGGCCAAGTGAGGGCATCTGTTAAAATGGAGAAGATAATGTAACTTTGTAAATGATTTTCAGATAACAGGCACTGTGCATGTGGAAAGCAGTATTTATCATTACATTCGTAAGTCCAGTTAGGAGACACATGAAGGGATAAGTCTGCTCATTTTTCTGGTTCATCAGGGAACCGTCAGATCTTAGCTGTCACTAGCCACTGGTATATAATGCAATGATGTGGTCACACAAATGACTGTAATTGCCCCTTTCCCTTTAAGTCACCACATAGCTGTGCTTCACAATCTAGGATTTCATTTTTGAGAAGTTAAGTCTCTCATCTTTAGGCACAAAATGTGAACCAAGAATAAGCCAATGCAGGGATGTCTGACTCAGAGTGCAAATAGCCTGAAACAAAAGGTCTCAGAGCAGAAGGAACTGATCCCATTAATCTCAATGGGATAGCTCTGAAGCCCAAAGACAACCGTTCACAAGTCCATGTTAGCTATTTCACTACTAGTTGTGTTATCAGAAACATCAAGCTATTGGGTTTATCCATTATTGTTGATGCAGTGACACATTGATACAGAGTGCAGTGGGGCAGCTAGCTGTTTTCAAGGGTTGCTGGGGAGAAAGTCAATCCTCACCACTGAATTTAAACTGGTCTCTCTCTCCCCCCTCCCCCACCCAATGGGGAGGGAAAGAGGAGATGCCACTACGCCCTAGTACCAATGTCACCCTCCTCATGTTTTTGAACATCTGCATCTATCCCCCACACATCTGCCAAAACCCCAGCTTCTCTTCCGGGGTGACCTCTCTGATGGAGGTATGTGACTGCAATACCAACATTTGCAGTATATTGGGAATCTAAGAGCACTATAAAATAAATGGATCTGAATATCAAAACACCACAAATTATTATTTGTATTATGGTAGTGCCTAGAAACCCCAACCTAGACTAGGGTCCCATCATATTAGGTTTTGGCCACTCACACATAAATTCCTACCCCAAAGTGCTCACAATCTAAATAGACAAGGCAGACAATGGGTTGGAGAAATAAATGTGCTGCCCATTTTACAGATGGGAAACAGAGGCAGAGAGAGACTAAATTTTCCAAAGTGCTCAGCAGCTGCAGCTGGTGCCAGATTTTAAAGAAAGCTCAGCTCCCATTAGGCACATGAAGTGCCCAGAAGTGCCCGTTGTTCTCAGTGGGAATTAGCGAACAACTTACAGCATTTGAGGAGACTTTCAAAAGCACAAATGGCTGTTAGGTGCCCCTCTCCCACTGATGGCCAATGGGAGTTGAGCAAATAGTTGCCATTTGCGCCTTACGCTCCCTCTTTGCCAAGCTTCAGAGAAATTAGCCAATACACCTTTTTAGTTAATGTAATAGTTCTTTTGAAAAATACATCCCTTATTAGACCCCAGGTCATACAGACAATCAGTAGCAGAGATGGAATTTGAACCCACTGTTCCCAAGTACTAAACCAGTACCTACTTACAAGACCAGCCTTCCCTAGAGAGTGAACTGCTTGTATTTGAGTTCCTTAAAACTTCCCTTTTTGAGTTTAATGAGTTCTGCACCTGAAGTCCCAGTTGGCTGTAGCACCAGGGACTTTGCTGTAGGTTTTAGGTCCATCTTGCCATAGAGTAACAAGAGGCCTTGTTTATACTGTGTTCAGGAGTGCAGCACTCAGCCTGCACATTGCAGGAGGAGTACAGGAGGGAAGGACTCTGGCTGATAGCAGCCTTCAGTGAGAGGGACAGTAGATCAGGTGTCACAGAAGGAGCAAAGAGCACCCTAATTGTGTCTACCTTAGGAGTTCAGTATGGAAAAAATAATGCTTCAAGTGACAGTGGATGGGGAACAGCAGACTGTCTCTGAGCAGGAAGAGTGTCCCTCCCATTACATTTCTGAAGATGAACAGGAATGGGGCTTTTTAACACTTCTGCTCTGACAGTGGCAACAGACGAAGGGCAGGGAGGAGGAAGTGCTATGTGCTATGTGTATCCAGGGCCCCTAACACAGAGAATTGCATGAGGCTAAAATCATTAATGTCTATTATGCACGCTGGTATTACCATGAAGAGCAGGTGCCACAGAAAAGCCTATCAATAAAATCCATTCCATTTTGTTGTGTTTGCTTAAGTGCAAGGGGTTTTGTTTATTGCTATTTTCAATTGGTCAATTAGTTTTAGTTCTTTTTTGTTGCTTATGTTAAATAATAAGATTGATTTTTAGGTTGTTCTCTCCCCTTTTCATGAACTACTGCTCTACTGATCCCTGGCACTGAAGAGATATTTGCTAACCCCACTGCTACAGCAGAGTTATAGAAGCTTACCAGGACACCGGGAAGAACGATTAGGTCTCTCAATGGTCCAATTATGCTTCTAGGATCAAATACCCTGACATGAAATGCACGGGGATTAAGCTCACTCATAAGAAAAGATGAGCTGGGAGGGGATGGATCAGATAGCCAAACATTAGCTTGGATATACCTAGACTCCATGGAACCAGTGGTTTGTATCCCAGTAGGTTCAGTTCAGCTCTTCACACTTCCAAGATAAATGAAATAAAGTAGAGTGTGGCTTTCATTGATGAGACCTTAAAAACAGAGCTGTCTGCTCTAGGTGGATGTTCAAGATCCCCCAATACTTTTAAACTATGTCTAGACTGGAAATTGAATGACAAAACTTTTGTCTTTCAGAAGTGTTAACCGCCGCTCCCCCCAGTAGACAAAAGCTTTGCTGTGACAAGTGCCAGTGTGAACGGCGCATTGTTGGCAGGAGCGCTCTCCTGCTGACAACGCAAACGCCACTCATTGGGGGTGGAAGTTTTTTGTCAGCAGGAGAGCCGACAAACAGCGGCTACATGGCGCGACTTTTAGTGGCACGGCTGTGGCAACACACCCAAGTTGCTAAAAGCTGTGTAGTGTAGACGTAGCCTTAGTTAGGCCCAGTGTCCTTGGCCAAAATATCTCCCTCCCCTACACTGTTGTTCAGTTTGCATTGCATTGTTTATCCTTCTGCTGCTACTCTTCTCTCAAAAGGTGTCTGCCTTAAGTGATTTAAAATGTCTGTACAGTGCTTTGAGATTGCATTGCTGCAGCTGTGCCAATGTAATGCTTCTAGTGTAGACTAGCCGTAAGATACAATGCCAGTCATACTGTATGGAAATCCTAGCACATGTTGTGCCTATTGTGCTCACTGTACTGTCCTAAAGAGCTGTGAATTCTAGGGTTAACTTTTTAAGTGGTAGGTGTGTCCAACTAACGCAAGTCAGATGCCTGTATCCTGATACACTTGTTTGAAGACGGATCCCTCAAAGGCTGAAGGATTAGACATTTAACTCAATGTAACATGTTAGGTAAAGTATTTTAATACTGCATTGTTCAAGATTTGGATGTCAAAGAGCTAGCCGGGGAAGGAAGTTGCTATGATACTATATCCATCTAGAAGCCAATCTGTGTAGATCCAAGGACATATAGCACTAGAAAGTTACCCAAACTAAATTTAAAAAACAGAAGTTTTATACTTCTCTAAAGCCATGACTCTAGAGCCTTTGGGGGACACGTAAAAAGAATAATCCTTTTGTTGTGCCTTCCATGTTTTCTGTACCTTTTTGTACAAAAATAAACTCTTCTATCTAGGAAGTGAAGATTGCAAAATCAAAATGATAAAATATTTGTATTATTTAACTGTATCATGGTCATTGGAAGGGGAGGTAGGGCGCCAGTGTTCCTGGGAGGGACAGTTATTGACAGGACACCAACAGGAATAGGGAAGTTAGCCTGAAGCAACTATGCCATATGACCAGAGCAGTTCGCAGGGTTTAATAAAGTTCCACTTGTTCAACTTAGATTGCATTCCCCTTCACTCTTTGTGAATGAAACAGTAACTATTTAATCAGCCAACTGTGACTAACATTTCAACACAGGGTCTTCTTTAGAGCCTAAAAAGTGTCCTTTCCTTTGAAGAGGAAGAGCCTCATTGATACCAGAGTTTCAGGACTTGGACAAAAGCCAACCCTCATGCAATCTGTAACATCAGCTGATATCCATTATTCATCTCATAGAAATAAACAATTACCAGTTTAAAATGATCAGTTATAACTCACAATATTGTAACAAAAATCTAACTAAACCATAACAATTGAATAAGACACATCATTAAATACAATTTCTGATCAACTATCAGCATAATTAATCAAATAATATCTGTAAATGTGAAAAGTACGTAGGCTCTGATCCTGCAAGCACTTAGGCCTTGTCTACACTAGAACACTGTACTGCTTTAACAATACCAATACAGTTAAAGGGGTACAATCCCCTCTAGTGTGGATCCAGTTATATTGGTAGAAAGAGCTATTCACTTATGAGAAGAGAAATAACTATACCGGTATAAGTCACCTTTGTATCTGTCTAACTGTGTCCACACTAGGACTTTCACCAATACAAGTATTTTGATAATTAACAAAAAAAGTCACACTGCTAACCAAAATAGTTATACCAGTACAACTCTTAAAGTGTAGACCAGGCCTTAGGCCCTGTCCACATGATAAGAAGGGTGTTTCCCCCCCCACTGAATTTATCTTAACACAGTTGCAAATGCCCCTTAACACCAACATAGGCTTGAGTGTTAATGCTACAAAACAACCAGCTAACATGATTGTAAAGATATCAAACTGTTTCTACACAGGTGTTGCAGCGGTGTTTCCAATTCTGTTTAACTAATTTGATTAAGCTAAACTGATTGAAAAAACACCTTTTTCATCATATAGGCACACCCTACGGAGCTTAACCTTAAAACTGAGAAAGCCGGACAGGAGAGAGATAGGGAACCACAATGGGATAAAACAGATGGGGTCTGGAATGAGGAGTGGCAGACAGAGCACAGTGGGAGTAGTAGTTCTAGGCAGTGAAACGGCAATATAAAATATGGTTGAGCACTGGAGAAGAAATGGACTGGACAGTGCATCAGTCCTGCAGCTTTCTTTAAGGAACATAGAGATTAGTAAGAAACGGGGGGAGTCACACCACTGATTGAAGCCAATGGTTCTTGGGTCAGAAAGTGTGGTAAGAGGGAACCATTAAGAACAGGTCAGGGAGCATTTCTCAGGTCAGCAGGAGAGAAGGGTGAAGATGCAATCCTGAGGTCATAACGCATAAGGGACAGTGGGTGGGAGAAGGTAAGGAAACAGTGTTGCAGTTAGGAGATGTGGCTGGGTCATTTTATGTATTCCCAAACCTGGTCTCTCCTCTTTTATTAAAGACATAGGAAGCAATGTGTGAATCAAATCCAGACTGAGCACTCACCACTTTGCTAATCAGGCTCTAATCAGGGACCATGGCCGCATTGCGCTAGGCACTGTACACACATATAACACAGTCCCTGTCTCCAGGAGTTTACAATTTAAGTACTTATTATAATTACCAGCCTGTTAAATTATTATTATTGGAGTTTATTTAGTGAAAAAATACAACCAACGAATCTATTTGGCAGAAAACACTGACAAACATTACTGGGTCTTCATATATAATATAAACATTTTACTTACCCCCAGTAACAATGATATTTGCTTTTCCACAGTATGTGAAGGCATTAACTCCTCTTGGGACAGAAAACTCCCTGACAGGTCTGTAATGATTAACAAGTCATTTGATCAGGTGGGAAATTTTGGTCAAAGTAGAATCTATAGCAATTCCAGTCTGTTTTCCTGAAGACTTAATACTCTGTGGGGGTTGGCAAGGGCTGTTTTATCCAGACACACAGGTTGAACTGATGGCACAAAAATCAGTATGGATGGGAAGGAGGGACTATCTGTGCTGGACACTCTTGGCCAAAACAGACAGATAGTATTATACCATGTTTAACTGGTTATTTTCACAATACTAAAGTATTTCTATATATAACATAGGCAGTACCTTATTAAAAGAAAATTGATTCATACAGTTGTTTAAATTCAGTAACTAGCATTAGCAATAAAACTGGACCAGGTTAGCTTTTCAGCTGAAATAGCATGGTTTCTTATCTTGAATAGCTGAAGCAATATAAGCCTGTAGCAAAGGTACCTCATTCCCCTGCAATAGCACCCTAAATTGCAGCCATAGTCAAACTAATTTTTTATATACTTGTAAAACCATTGGAGACTATAGGTCCCAGGAAACATGCTTCATCTTGATCAAGCATATTCCAGTCAAATTCAAGATGGAGTACTGAATTTTACAACTAGTGGCTCTTTCTATATTAGAAACTAGGATAGCAGTGACAGCCTCAATTTTACACAAATCAAGTGCAGCCTCTCTAGTGCTGCTTTGATACAACTGGTTTATGGGCTATGTTGCTTGTATTACATGCTTGGTAATAACATGCGAAGATTCCATGTTTCCAAAACTAAACTAGCTCTTTATTAAGAGAACTTTTTAGAGGTAATGCAACTGTAGTTAGCATTCCAGCCATGTACACACAGACTGACTTCATTGTGTCTCCTCCAAACTCCTCCCTCCAAATTCCAGGCAGATTGCTACAGTCTGAATGTTTTCTTAAAAACCTGAATCCAACAAATACCTATGTAAGGTGTGGAAATGAATGGCAGGAAATACTGGTTATTGCCAGTATGCCCAGAGTGTACATAGGTCAACGTGTAGGGCCCTATCAAATTCATGGCCATGAAAAACGCGTCACGGACCGAGAAATCTAGTCTCCCCCCATGAAATCTGGTCTTTTGTGTGCTTTTACCCTATACTACCCAGATTTCATGGAGGAGACCAGCATTTCTCAAATTGGACCCAAAAGGGAGTTGCAGGGGGTCACAAGGTTATTTTAGGGAGGTCATGGTATTGCCACCCTTACTTCTGTGCTGCCTTCAGATCTAGGCAGCTGGAGAGCAGCGGCTGTTGACTGGGCACCCAGCTCTGATGGCAGCGCCCCCCATCAGCACCGCAGAAGTGAGGGTGGCAATACCATACTGTATGCAGCACAAGAGGTTTTGGGAGATATATTTTGGGTGACTGGTTGGTTTTTGGTAATAGAAAGGAAGAATGTATTTCTTTGCATGAGGCAACTTCCTATAAAAATGGTTAAGCCAAACAGCCAAGAGAGTCTTTTTTCAGTACAGTTTAGGTAGTGTCACCGATAACACAGGAGCAGACAAGAGTCTGGGTGTGGTAGTAAACTCTAAATCCCTAATGCAGCAATAAGCTCTGAGCAGTCAGATTACATGCGACTATGTGGAACTCACTACAGCAGGGGTCGGCAACGTTCGGCACGCAGCTCGCCAGGGCAAGCACCCTGGCGGGCCGGGCCAGTTTATTTACCTGCTGACGTGGCAGGTTCGGCCGATCGCGGCCCCCACTGGCCGTGGTTCGCTGTCCCGGACCAATGGGGGCCGGGGGAAGCCGCGGCCAGCACATCCCTCGGCCCGCGCCGCTTCCCGCCGCCCCCATTGGCCCGGGAAGGTGAACCGCGGTGAGTGGGGGCCGCGATCGGCCGAACCTGCCGCGTCAGCAGGTAAATAAACTGGCCCGGCCCACCAGGGTGCTTACCCTGGCGAGCCGCGTGCCGAACGTTGCCGACCCCTGCACTACAGGATTAAAAGAATCTGAATGCTTGGTTATGGAGTAAAATAGCAAACAACTCCTTATGTGAGCGCCAAGTAGTTTATTTTAGGATTTTGCCATTTCTTTTTTAATTCTTAAAATGGAGAGTTCTTTTTATATAATCCTTACTTGATTCTTCAAGGAGTGATTCCAACCTTCTCCTACAGCAATGAGGATGGCCTGCAACAGGAAGGCTGGTAACATTCACTCCAGATATGAGTCCAGACCTATCCCACATCCTTGCAACCAGACACCCTCTCTGATCCCTGCCACACATTCCCCTTCTTAGCCTCTTTGTAAAGAAAGAAGACAATCCCTTTCCAGGCATTAGCCACCTAGAAACTGCACAGTTCCGTAAGGATTAGGATAACTAAAAACTACACTGATCACCAAGCTTTCTTCCCAAACCAAACAGCAACAGTGGTTCCATAGTTAATTGGGATAGTCATTTTGTTTGCATCATGTAATTAAATGTTTGAGCCACAATCACTTATACAGAATGGTCATTTAATATATTTCTATTTTTAGGGTTACAAATTTCATTTTAACATTTGTGTATTCTGCAAATGTCTAAATATAATTTCATCTAGCTCCTGTCTGAAGCTCCTTAGGGAAATGTACTTCTTCCAACAACTGGAGACACATGTACAATAAATGTTTAATGAAAAAAAAAAAAAAAAAACCCCTAGGAACCTTTGCATTTAAATGATATATAACACAGTATACAGTGGTGGTGCATGCACTTCCCACTATATTTTTGACACTTTCTCTCTCCCCCTCCTCATCTTTCTTGGGATTGTTTTCAACTTTCTAAAACTCTAAACACCTTCAAATAGCATTTCCAGGCTCTGCTAGTGACCCAGTGAGTGACCTTGGTCGATTTTACTTTCTCTCATCTACAAAAAATACACAGAATACCCATAAAACCAGAAGTTATGGGCTTGATGCAGGAATTACTGGGAATATGGCCTGTGTTATGCAATGGGTGACTCTATATGATCATAATTCTCGCTTCTGCCCTTAAAATTCTACCTGACAAAGAGGCTGTGAGCGGATCTAATGTTTAGAGATCCTTGAATGAAAAGCATTATTTATAGTTTCTACTCATGTCAAATTTAGTATTATTTCATTTCTTAATTTTGTCATAACTCACTTTCCCCAAAATCACAGTCTGATATAAATCTAAGTAACAGAGTCAATTTAACCATGGCTTTTATAGCGTCATTAGTGATGTTCTTTAATAAGTTCAATTACATGTTAAACACCACTACCAAAAATATTTAATCCTTATCTATTTTTCATATATTCATATATGCATTTTCATCATGAGCAAATGAATTCATGTGCAATATATTTGAATTTATGTAGAAAAGTAGGAAAGCAATGTGCATTATTCTTCAAAATAAGTTATTACAGCAGTTCAGATAAAATCATCCAGTTGTTTTGTTTGCTTGGTAAATCTGCCTACTGATGAAAACCCAAAGCAAACAGACCTTGCTAACAAAATTTATTTTTAAAGGTTATGTGAGAGAAAATAACATATGGACAGTCCTTGGCATTTAAAAGTTAATGAGCAAAAACCAATATACTTTTATGAGGGCTCATTCTGTAGAGCTTTGCATGACTAATTCCAATTATGTCTTAGTTTTAATTAGACATCTTTTACAAAAGTCATAGCTACTGTAATTGTAGAATTTTGAAATGTACTAATCTCCCATGTGGCTCTTTCAATGAAGAATTTATGTTCCACTATGACATGCATGGCTCTACTTACAAGTTGTCCTCTAGTCTCTTTAAGTCATCCAAAACGAACGAATGAACACTGTCTAAGGAGCAGGATCCAAAACAATTCAGGGCAGAGATAAACTTAACCTTCACAACCCAGTCATCATGGAGTTTTCGTTTAATACTGGGGAGAAAAAGTAGGTGGTTATTGTATAATATATGTGTGTGTGAGATAATATTAAGGACTTCCAGGTTGTCATTAAAAGTGCAAACAATGAACACTTGCAATTCATAGCAAGAGAGGTGAGATACCTTAGATCAGTGGTGGGCAACCTGTGGCCCGCGGGCACATGCGGCCTGTCAGGGTAATCCCATTGGCCGGGAACAGCGAACCGTGGCCATTGGGAGCTGCAAGCAGCCGTGCCAATGTAAACAAATTGTCTCACGGCCCACCTGTGGATTACCCTGATGGGCTGCGTGCAGCCTGCAGGCCGCAGGTTGCCCACCACTGCCTGAGATCCACCAGCTCCAAAGCCACAGGCATTGAATACTGGACATAATGACATATTTCTTTAATATGGAGACAGAGTAGGGCCTGCGACACACAACTAAATAGTTCTGATTCCATCTAATAGAGGACAATAGTTACACCAGGGTAAAACTGGACTAAAGCAGTGGTGAACTGGGCTCATTGGTTCTTAATCTGTAGCAGCTCTGTGTGCAGATCTCCCATTGAAAACAATGGAGTTGCCGTCACACAACAGCTAGAAAATCAGGCTCATTGTTTTAAAAGCTATTTTCATTCTTATGTTAGGCAAGGTCCATTTTTAAGCACTTTTAGAAGCACAGATCATAGAGAACCAGAGTTTAATTATTTGATGAAAACTGCTAAAGTGATAGTATTTTACTACAAACAACTTACTTCTTGAATTTCCTGGAGTCCAGGATCTGCAATTGTGATTTCTTTTTGGCTTTTGATTGCTTTAGTCCAAAGTCATCGCTGGTCACTGTAAAAAGGTTGACATGACCCCCATCATCTCCCATTAGGATGTCATCCTTAGCTAGCTGATCTCCTAAATTCACCGTACAAACACAGAGCAGACAATGTTCCATTGGTTTGATGATAAAGCAATTATCCTGTGAAATACAGTAAAGAGTTTATTTGATACTGCACATGAGCCCAAAAGCAACTGAGCATAGTCTCTACCATGCTCATCCATTTATATCAACATCTAATTCTTGTCTCAGGGTTTTCAAAATCTTCCATTTCAGCTGTTTTGTGATACCATAGACTCATGCAGCTGGTAAATCAATGGGAGTTTTGCTATGGACTTCACCGGAGCTTGGATTTCACCCTGAGTATTAAAGATATTTTGTTGTGTTTGGGTTAGGAAATATTAACAATAAATATAACAGGAGAATTCATCATGCTAAATGGTGTGCCAGTATATTGTGAATTAGGATCTTGTTTGTTTAAAAACTTCTTGTTTCTTTGTGCAGGAAAAATGTGGACTGGTATAGTATTAGAAATCAAGTGACAGGGACCAACAGAAGTGGGAGACATGCTGGCAGCCTGTTAGATTTGGGGCAGGTTCTGTAGTGGGATTTTGAATCATCTGGATTCTACTGTTCATTGACTTTATTGCCTCACTTCCTTTTGTATTCAATAGAATATGTACTTGCTATGCCTACCGTCTGTGAGCGTGAGAGAGCAAAATGCAGCTGGCTTCCATTCAGAGCTATGTTGTTAAAACAATACAACACTTAGGACATAACTGACCATTGTGGGTTTGTTCACATCATAGGACTTGAGAACTGATACTTTTGAGATAATTTCTTATACCTTTTTGAAGGCAATTTCTTGATTTGACACCCATACTCAAGATGTGTAGGACTTTAATAGTTCATTCCATGGTTTTGTCACTATAGAAAGGTCGTGTAGATATTGACCAAGGTAATTTGCATCATAGAATTATAGACTATTAGGGTTGGAGGAGACCTCAGGAGGTCATCTAGTCCAATCCCCTGCTCAAAGCAGGACCAACACCAACTAAGTACATATCTGAGTTCTGATACATTAGTTGGTGCATTCAATTCTCGAACTTCTTTTACTATCTCAGAGCTAGGACTCATTCCATCTTTGTTTATTCTCTGTCCCAAAAACTTGATTTGGGTTAGGCAGAAAACACACTTTTCGTTATTTAGCTTCAGTCTGAACTGATTGATTAGGTTAGAACTTTGTTGAGGGCTCTGTTGTGTTCTTCCATCGAAGACCCATATATCAAAATATTGTTCATTACAACTACAGATTTTTCCAAAGACACATGGGAGAACTGTAAAGGAACACAAATGGAGTTGTAGTTTTCATAAACAATAATGAAAGCTGTTAGTGTGTGATCCTTTGATAACATACATTCTGAATGCAAAGCTTTTGTCTTTGTAGGTTGTTTCTGTGATGAACTGGCCCATGCAATTCAGAATACCTCCAGAGCTAGTCAGAGCTGTGTCAGGTGACTTCAGCTCTAGGAGAGGTTGAAGATGATTGTAAGTCCCTTCTGAGATGACTGTGATGTCTGCTCCTGAGTCAATTTTAAAGTCTATAAGCTTTCCATGAATATTCAGTTTCACTCTCCAGGCAGGCTTTGTGTCATCACATGTGATAGATCCATAAACAATGGCTCTTAATTGTCTGTTATATAAGTCAACTCCCTGACTGCTCTGATGAAGCAAACTGCAAAATGACCATATTTTGTCCATTTATTACACCTTGCACCTCCAGTGAAACATACATTTGTTGGGCTATGAATTTTTCCACATCTTGTGCAAGCAGACTGAAAGGCTTTGGAATTTGACTGGAATTTTACCATCTTAGGCTGGGAGTTTCTGGTTTTTCAAGTTGCTCCTGCCTTTTGTTCTGCTGTTTGACCAGTTCAGACTGCTTTGCTATCTGTACAACTGTGGATAGGGTTTGGTCTGTTTTTAATGGTAGCTGCTGTTAAAGATTTTTATCTTTTAGCCCAATAACCAGCCTGTTTCTGATATTTTCATGTTTTGCAAATCCAAGATCACAGTTGTCAGCCAATGGATACAGAACATTTATAAAACATTCAACACAGCTCCCTGGTTCTTGGATTCTCTGGTGAAAACATGCTCTTTCATAAACCACATTTCTCTGAGGTATAAAGTGTCCATCAAACATATCCAGAACTCTTTCATAGTCATCTTTGTGATGGTCTTCAATAAAGTCAAAGGATTTAAAGAAATACTCCTCCTGCTTCCCCATAGCATAAATTAAAGAAGATACCTGAAACTTCCAGTTTCCTATGGAGCTTTGTAGCAATTCAAAATCTTGCAAAATACTGCTTTCTGTGTATCCATTGTGAAGGTTTGTCAAAGCTGAAGTTCTCTGGGGGCACTGAAGAGTGGCATGTTGATGAGATCCTGCAGCCTTTATTGCTTTTTCTTTCTGTTTGCAACTTTTGTTGCTCTTCCTTCTGTCTGCAATCTTTGTTGTTCCTTCCTTTTTTTTTTGCAACCTTTGTTGCTGTTTTCCTTCTGTTTCTTGTTCTCTCCTAGCACTAATCACACTGCTGAATCATATCACGTACTTCTTGTACATAGTAAGCTGCAGGGCTGCAACTAGCAGGTAAGGATTCTGTATCAGATACAGACTGACTACAGACCATGAGGAAGAGGATGAGTAGTGGGGAGGCTGATAGGAGTTGTAGTCCCCTGCTTAATAGATCCATCACACTATCGAGCTACTCCAAAAGAAGGCTGCATTAAACTTCTTTTGAAGACTTTTACACTAGTCCTGAAGCCTCAAACATTTCACTTGTTGCAGAGGGAAGGCCATTTTATTTATTTATTTACTAACTCTTCTGCAGGAACTCATTGTCACTCAATAGAATTCACCGTACCAGACAGTTGGAACAGGGCTATATGATGTGAACACAGAGGATTCTTGAGTGTGTTAGGTTTTCTTTAACCTTTGCATGATCCAAAACAATACCTGGCAGCTGCCTTGTGATTTATAATCCCAGACGACAACAGTCCTTTCAGTTACAGCAACAATCCGTTTGAGCTGAGTAAGATAATCACATCCAGTAACCCAGGAACTATCCTGATGAAAGAAAAGGGATGGTTGAAAGATTTAGTCCATGAGTAGGGCTCCTAAGTGCTAGGATAATACAAATAATCATAGGATATGGACCTTTTATTTTAAGTTTCTTGTATATTTGATTTCATGAAAGTGAAGAATTTACAACTTATACATTTGTTAGAACCAGAGTCAGTAGACGCTGTGTAATGTAGTTTTGCCAATGCACTTCTGTTTGACCTATTGTTACATTTCTGGGCTAGACATTGTAGATTGTGCCATGGCTTGGTGATGAGAGCCAGTGACCATTATGGACTAGGTTAATAGGATCAAATTTGTTTTTATCTGGGGGCAAATCCAGCCTCCCCTTTTGGCGCTGCAGAGGTCCCACTGGTGGTGGAACCAGTGCAATTCTATTTTGCAGTAGGAGAGGAAAGATGGGGGTGTGCACCCCTTAAGTGTTGTGGATCCTAGATGTGCAGGGACTCCTTGCATAATAGCACAGAGGGTGCCAGTAAGGGTGATCTATGGGCATGTGAGGCCACACAACGGGGCCACATTACAAGGGCAAAGGGCTACTTTGAAAACTGAGCTAAAGTAGTTTTAATGGAACACTTCCAGAGCTGTCCCACAGGCTCGGGTGGGAGATGCCCACCTCAGGCTGAATACTTAGGGTAGGTGCTGGGCTGTGAATGTGAGCCTTAATGTAGGATTTGAACTTAGGTTTCTGGAGGTAAAAGGATAAGTCACTAATCCTTCAACCCACTATGCAACCTTGACCTCTACATGCCCCAAATTCACATATTATCAGGGTTAAATCATCCCATTCTATCTACAGGCAGGATCTCAGATGAGTGATAGAAATGAAGAACTTTCCTTGCTACAGAGCAGAAATATAAGTCTGCTGAGTTCTAAATTCCTGTTAGTGCATTAGGAGAGATCTATCCCACCTGTTTAAGCAAATGAGATTCCCAAAGGAAGTGTCAGTTTGGCCCAAGTAGAGGAGCCACTGTTAGCTCAAAGTACCATAAATTTCTGTTGTACTAGCATGGCTTTTAGTGTATAAAAGATGTTTCACCTCTTGCATGAAATCTATATAAATATACAAAAGCCTCTTTATATGTGAATCCTGTAGCTAGACGGATATACAGTATATCTTTCCATCTCCATCAACACATCAAGCAAGACTACTATTGTATAGGTCCCAGTGCAAACAACAACACTTGAAAAACATCAGGTCAGATTCTTGGCTGATGTTATTCAGGATAGTTCCCACTGGCTTTAAAGGGTGCTCTGCTGATTTATGCTAGCTGAGAACCTGGCCTATAACATGGATTTGGGACAACCTCTAGAAAATGTTAATTGCATTGGAAGTGTTTGATAGGCAGCTGCTGGTACTGCTGGGACTTATGTTTCTGAGGAAACTGTCCCTACCCAGGAAGTGACTCTAGGAAGAAGATGCATAAGATCAGCACCAAGAGTGCTGTGAGAGCTGCTGCTTCTGATTCAACCTTCAGACTTTGTGGATGGGGAATATTTTTCCTTCAACCTGCCTAGCAAATATCAGCTCTCTCTCCCCTCTGTGTGTGTGTGTGTACGCATTTCTGAGCGTTACTGATGGTGTACTCTACTGTAGGTAGCTGGGAAATGTTGGTGTTTCACAGGTTTTAATTATTGTTTGATAATTTTCACAGAAGGTCTTGTTACCCAAGAATAGTGTGTATATGTGGGGTCATTGTAGGCATTTGTAATAAATAATAACAGCTCATATACAGCTCTTTTCATCAGCAGATATCAAAGTACTTTACCAAGGAGATATCATCCCCATTTTACAGATGAGGAAACTGAGGCAGCGGGAGGAGAAGTGACTTGCCCAAGGTCACCCAGCAGACCAGTGGCAGAGCTGGGAATAGAACTCAGAGCTCCTGCATCTTGGTCCAGTGCCCTAGGTTGCTAATATGTTAACAGGTAAGGAAAGGGTCTACTTTATGTTTAGGTTTGTTATTCAATATTTATAGTACTGGGGCTGGACTGCTGCGACAAGATAAAGGGTTAACAGGCTGTCAGATGCCTGCTCAAGGCAGAGTATAAAAGGAAGGGAAAGCTGAATCAAAGAAGAACTAAGAAGAAAGTTCCCCTCATGGCTGGTTAGAGTAGGGAAAGCCTCTGGGAATTATTGATCAATATTTTTCAGTTGATTTCTTTTCATGTTGCAGTTGTTGTGTGGGCAATAAAAAAAGTCCCAAAGAAAGGGTCTTAAGAGACTAATGCCTGAAGCTTTATTTCCCTTCCCTGGCTAGTGAAAATGCTGACTAGCTTACAGTTGCATTTTAGCATGCCTAGGAAAAGTAAAAGAAAGAACATTCTATATAACTACAGGCTTGTCTACACCTAAAACGCTGCAGAGGTGCACCTGTGTTGCTGTTGCACATAAGTTAATACACTACCTGTGCATACAGGAGGGGATTCTCCAGTTGGTGTCGGTAATCCACCTCTCTGAGAGGCAGTAGTTAGGTCGACAGGAGAATTCTCATGATTTGAATAGTTCCAACTAGGCATTACTGGATTACTTCTAGTCAATTCTCTCCCTCCTGTGAGAAATTCTGTTCATTTACACCCATGGGCAGTGTGTATAAGAGGGTTGGGGAGGCTTAGCATCCCCCCAAAACAGTGGCCCTGCAAGGGGAAAAATTCTGTATGCGGCCCTGGCTCATCTCCCTTTGGAGGTGTGCCGGCCCACCGCCTTTGGAGCACTGCCACCAGAAGCTCCTTAGAAATGTAGGGGGCCACCGGCACCAGTGCTGTGACCCTGCACACGCTCCGCCTGTGCTCTGCCCTGAGGCCCCACTCCTGCTCGGCCTCTTCACCCCAGTGGCAGAAAGGAGTGAGGAGTGGATGGGACAGGGCCTTGGGGGAAGAGGAAGAGCGGGGGTGGGAAAAGGCAGAGTGAGGGTGGGACCTCAGGGAGAAGGGCCATGGTCCAGCCACTGCTGGCCCCCCTTTCTAGGGAGCTTCCAGCGCTTGCGTAAGCCTCCTCAAACAAAAGAGTCGAGTGCCAACTACATTTACATCCTCTTGGGACACTCAATCTCTAGGTGATTGGACCTTCCTAACTCAGTCAGGGGATGGACCTTCCTAATTCAATCAGGGGAGGAGAAACCTGGTGTTTCAGAAGATAAATTACCGCATTCCACTGCCCGGTGGAAGGAGAATTCTTATAATACTAAAGACAAAAGAGGTGGAAACAAATGTTTTCTCCTCCATGTACACATCCTTGCTGGGGTGGAATTTTCAAAAGCATATAAGTGACTTAGGTGCACAAGCTCCAAAATTAATGGAATGTGTGCTCCTAAATCACTTAAATTAGAATGGTAAGAATTTTTGGCAGTCAGAAGTCATCACCTCCTGTAGCTAAAATATTTTATATACCACTGAAACTCTCTCCCTGCCTCCCCTTTTTATGAAAAAACTATAACATCTTTGGTGACACAAAAAGATAAAAAAACAGGTACAAATGTCTATACCACTGGCTCAAAAATGGATATTTAGACTGACACAAAGTGTGGAGGTTATTTTTTCCAGAGCATGAAGTTTTAGTTTTAACAGATATTACTCACTCCAGTACCCAAGAGAAAAATATTTTTAGCTCTGGTTCCCACTCTATAGTGCATTCATATGGATTTCAGACTCCTTTCCACCTGCTGATGTCAGGTAGCTCATAATACAATTTTGTATTTGTTTTACAATCACAAGCAGCTGGGGCGTGCACCTTATGTAGAGTAAGAATGAGAAATATAATAAATTATGAGTGATTTGTATTCAGTGGAGTTGAAATAGGAATTGTTAGTATCCTCTTAGATCTATGTATTCATTTTTACTTCCGACTGAATGTAATCTTGGCTGTCTTTAACATTCAGAGTTAGACCATTTATTAAGAAAAAAGAGAGGTGATGTTGTATGGGAATGTATTAGACTTTTCTGTGGATTTTTGTGGTTTTATGTAATGTGGAGGTTTTCTTTACAAAGCATATAATCTATGCACCCTTTGTCTGCTGGTAAGAGCAAGAGCCAGAGGTTATGAATGCTTTCACTTTTGTTAAATCACTGCTCACTTTATGTTGGAATTCAGAAATTTAAAAAGTATTTGGTAAATCAGAGGAGATATAATTCTCTTCCCACATATTTTGTGCAATTTAAAAGGAAATTATCGCTATGTTACTCAGACTTGCACATAGGAACTTCAAAAAGATGATACTGCTTTGCATTTTTTATTTGCAGATCTCAGTTCCTTACAAAGGTGAGTATCATTAACATAACACCATTTTACAGATGGCTGGTATAGGTGCAGAGAGCTTATATGATTTTCCCAAGTTCACACAGCAAGTAGCAGAGCTGGAGATAGAACACAGGTCTTCTAATTCCTCCTCTACTGCCCTGCTGCCTGACAAGGCAGATAAAACTCACTGCTTGAGTGTTGCTTAGAAAAGACCTTAAAAACCAAAGTGCTGTCTGTCTGTGTAGACACTAAGGATATATCTACACCATAATAAAAAACACGGCACCAATTCTCAGAATCTGGATCAGCTGACTCAAGCTTGCACTCTGGGGCTATAAAAGTGCAGTGTAGACATTTGAGCTTGGACTGGAGCCCAGGCTCTGAGATCCAACCCCCCTTACAGAGTCTCAGAGCCCTGGCTCCAGCCTGAGTGCAAACATCTAAACTGCAATTTTATAGCCCAAGTACCTAAGGCCTGCAAGCTCAAGTCAGCTGACCTGGACCAGTCACATCTATGTCATGCCGTGGGTCTTTTATTGAGTATAGACATACCCTAAGCTTCCAGGGCAATATGGGCAGCGAGAGGGTTATGCCCAACAAGCAGCAGCTTGTATCCGTATGTCATTATAAATAAAAGATGGGATAGAAATGACAGTGACAAACAGATATTCTTTCCTGACCAGACCTTTCAATCAAACATATCCAGCCCTCTTTTTTGTTGCATATGGAGGTACCCAGCCTCACCATT